AGTATGGGTTGTAGTCCTGTCATTCATTGGCGAGTTTGTAACTTAGGTTCACTTCCGCTTCCTGCTCTTGTTCCCAGTATGACCTCAGACCGACTCTTCTGTGTGGCTGTCTACTTTGGGGCATTGTTCGATATTGCTGGTTAGTCATCGAGATTCGGGATCATTCGTTCCTGATGTCAGGTTTCTGCTTTCTATGTACTTAAAGCCTTTTTTTACTGTCCTTCTTCATCCCACCTGTTGTTATTCTTCTTTTAATATATTTTATTATGATTTTTTTTAAATAGTTGAATAACAGAGAGAAAGCTGGTTCTGGCAGTAGGTGAAGGGTTTATTGGGACTGGTTATGAGAGATGAGTTGTGTTGACTGAGTGATATTTGTTATGTTCTTGGTGATGTTTAAACTAGGCAGGAAAGGGTTAAGTGTCAGTGATGATGTCCTGGTGTTGGATAAGGAGGTGGTGTAATTGTCGTGTCCTCGTTATGCCAATTAGGGTGTCTGCAAGGTTGATATGTGATCCTAAGGTTGGATATTTAATTCTGTGGTGTTAAATGGCAATTAGCCGATCATTAATTCTATGAAACTATGTTTGTATGGTCTGTCCTGACCAATGAGACCAGATAGCCTTGAATCCGATAAAATGAAATCTGACCCACGAGGAGTGAGAGTAATGATTTATACCCAGTATAATGTGACAAAAGATTTAGGGTGCTTCTGTTTTTAATTTTGCAAGATGAGATACCTAGGTATCACGTAATTATGAACCCAAAAGGGGCTACACAAAATTAGAAGGGCGGAAAGAGACGAGATACCAGAGAATTTGGAAAAAGAAGGGAAAGAGTGGACAAGACCCAGACTTTTAGGCACAAGGAAGTCAAGAGAAACCGTCGGTGTTGATTGGACTGAAACGATACATCAGATTATAAATCGATACAAGGCAGTGTTATTCGATCTCTCAGTCGATTAAATGATGATTTTGTTTTATTTTTAACAGATCGGCTATTGATATAATCCTATTTGTATTTTGAAATTCCTTGTATATGTTGATTCAAAAAGAAAGAAGTGCATTTTCAAATTGCCAGGTTTATCACAATTGTTTATGAATTATATTGTCATGAATTTTGATTAAATTTTGTCTTTATTTGTAACGGGGGCTTGTGTTATTCTGTCATATATATCTGCTCAGATTTCTATTTGTTCCACCCATAAGTTTCATATTTTATATGGACTCGTTCCAGGCAAATTACACCGACGGCGATCACCTAGATAACGATTGCCAAAACCAGTTTATCCGCCACAACAAAGTTGAAGAGGGGTTTACGACACTAATGTATATCTTAAACCAGTCATTTATCCTTGTTAGTACAAATATCTTGATGTTTTGATTAACTGAGCTATCAAATGACCTGAACATACCCATCTCTGATATCTTCAAAATTCATATTAAAGATACTGAATGAGTGCAATAATCGTCTAAGACAAACTATCTATCTACAGATATGATCTCCTCCCAGTACCCGCTACGGTCTCTCTTTATAATCTCATTCTTCTCCCCCTTTTGTCTTCTTCAAATTAGTTGTTGTACACTTCTTTTGTATTAACATTTCCAGTATCATGATTTTTAAAAAAATATTCATTTGTCTTAATACACTGTATTTCTGATCCACGCATAAGCATACACACGTACTGTTATTCCTTGCCACTTGTTATATACCTACTTTGGGGCCTGTTGCTAAGTTGTGAGAACTTGTAACTAGACCCAACGAGCTGTAAATATGACACTAAAATTGGCGGGGGGGGGGAAAGAGTCCAGTTTTTATGTACAAATTTAATGCCGTAATCAGCGACCTAGTTTAAAAAGTCATTTTTAAAAAATTCACAAGTGAGGTCAAAAAGGTCAACATTTTTGGATACATATATTAAAACAAAGTTTTAGAATAGTGTCCACTTGACCAGAGCAGTCAGTGGCAGTTTATAGCAGAAGTTTATGCACACCAACCCCAAATTTATACCTGCAATTTCATGTCCGAAGATCATTTTTGACAACATGTGATGCTCACAGTGCAAACACGAGCCCTTTTCCTAGATGACAGTTGTGAAAAACATTGTGTACTAAACAAACTGATGCAAATAAAAAATTGTTATCAAAGCCTTTTTAGAGATATTCTACTTGTCCTAAACCAACCTGGCCTTGTACGTTGTTATTTTGTTTATCCAATTAATTAAATTTGTTATATTCTATATATGGTGGTTTATGTTGTGCTATTCTACATCTCTGCTAATATCTCCATTTATTCCATCCATTAATTTTATATTTTAATATTGGCTCGATCTGAGCTATAACACCGTGGTCGATCATCCTGTCGAGATAGATCAGCGCCATCAAATAAATAATTCATCGCTGTCACTTTACATCTATAAGTAAATATTCTATGTCTTACATTAAGAAACTAGAAGAAGTGAAATCAAATAGCCATTTATTTCTCTAATTTACAAAGTGAAAATATTCTGAATTAAATCTCAAATAATCATTAATTTCTCATCGAAATTCCAAACGTATAGAATGCTACGAATGAATTCCAATAGTCGTGAATATCCTGATGTGCCGCAATAACGCACACCAGAAAGTCTTTGAATCAGTTCACAATTATTCCGAAATATTAATACAGTGCCAATGAGCACTTATGTAATTCCAGTGAATAGTTCAAATAAATAATTCCTCTCGAATTATATCTGAATATATCCTTTGCTTCAGATCTTATAGGATTTCCATAGACTGATGAAAAGGGGAATGATTTCTATGTTATCAAAACCCTGCTTATACACATTTTCACTTGGCTTATAACGTAATTGAATGTGAAGATTTCCAACGGAATAACAGTCTAACTATAAACAAGACTGACCGTGAACTCTTGCTTTTTGAACAAGATGTTTACAACTTACAATCTTGGACAAAAGTTTGTTCTGCAAACAAATTGTTTGCAACTTAAAAGTATGGGAAATATTCAAGCACACAGATAAAATAAATATACATAATTTTAGTCTCAATATCTCTATCTAGTAATATAGATTGGGGTTTCCAACTTTGTGTCATTATATAATATTTACGCCGATGGTTTTCATTCATTTTTTGCTTCCGAAATCCTCGGTAATCCGGTGCCAAACATATGAGGTTGTTAGCTATATGTGTCTTTAATATAAATTTGTACTTATGTGTTCCTGTGTTTGTGTGTGTGTGTGTGTTATGTGATATATATATATATATATATATATATATATATATATATATATATATATATATATATATATATATATATATATATATATATATATATATATATATATATATATATTACAGTAGATTTAAGACGTTAGGACAATTCCGTACAATTAAACATGCTTATATCTGGAAATAAACACCATTCTTTACGAACATGATCACGCTTGTGGCAAAACGTTTGTCATTTTCTCTTCAGTTTATTATGTTTGATGTGTGCCAGATTCAAATTAAATTAGAAATACGGCGTCAGTTTGCAACAAATTTGTAAGAATTGCCCGACCTTTATTGGTCTTCCCAGTGGGAGAGTTCCTGCAACCATTTAGTCCCACACAAGGTAAATCGGTGGCTTAAAATTGTTTTATATTGCTTGGGAGGGTTTCCCACTAGGAATCGTGTTTTCTTTATCACCAATTAGTAAGATATGGGGAAAGCAACGGGAACATATGGTAGTGCTTTATAGGTGAGGAGAAATATTGCAGGGGCGAGTCTCTATAATCTCACTGCAATCTTTGCATGTCACCTTTGTCAGTTAGTTTTTTGTTCTTACTTGCTAATGACATTGAAACTAATCAGGGCCCATGCATTGGGCTAAATAGCCTAAACTCGCATTGAGGCCTTTCAGTTTGTCCGGCTAATAGCCAGTGTACTATAAGACTGACTATACGACCATATAATTAAACAAATTTAACATTGTTACAGTCAGTGAAACGCGGTTTTATCAATTCTAACAGAAAATGTTATAATACAGAAACAGTTTTCAACTACATATTTTCTTAATTGAAACGGAAATGGTGATGACGAGGGGTGTATTTCTAAACGGGATTTTCCTTTATTAAAGGGAACAATTTATAACACAAAACCTTGAAGCCACAAGAAGAATTATTAAGGGAATAAAACCTTTATTTGGAACTCTTGTGCACACCCACAATTCGATGATTGGACTTTGCTGGATTTTTGCAGTTAAACAAACAAAACAATATTGTGAAAATTTAAGCAAGCAAAACTATTGTGAAAATTTATTCATCTTAGGCGACTTAAAAGGAGACTCCATGACATCGAGTAGTTTTAAATATATTTATTTGCATTGATTGATCGATAAACCTACATAAATTACTAATCATAGTTCCACAATGAGAGATTCAATAATTGTGTGACATAATAGATTGTTATGTAAAAAGATGTCTTGGATCCTTTTTGTTGTGATCATAACTCCATTTATTAGTTCCATAAAATTTATCAATGCTCTGCAGGAAAGTTTTAAACGAAAGGTATGGGACTCTCAAGAGAGGTTACAGTGCCAGATCAGGGAGGAAGTCCAGGGATTTCAGATAAACCCAGGCTATAAAAAATATTACTTAACTAGTCACTTGAAATTTGACCATCGTTTTATTCTTGCGCACGTTTATAGAGCATTTTAAACAACTCTGATTAAACAGATACACAGACTTGTTTTGCTGCCGTTTCGAGGAAAGTCATGTCCCTTTTTAACTTGTTAATATATCCCGCCCCCGCCCTCACCCCTTCGCTTATCCCCTCTCCTATCCCCTGCCCATCTACCCGAACGTTGTTGTTCTGGAGATTAACGCCATTTTTCAGCACACGATAGGCTATATTTGGCGGCCAGTATTAATGGTGGAGGAAGAAATCGGAAAATTCGTGGAAAGAACCACCGTTCCACGAGAAGCTACTGGCAAGCTTTCTCACATATCCACAAATCCCTCCGGTGGCCAAGTGGTTAGAGCGTCCGCCTCGGATGCGGAAGGTCGTGGGTTCGATACCCGGTCGAGTCATACCAAAGACTTACATATGGTACTAGCAGCTTCCTCACTTGGCGCTCAGCATTAAGAGGTTAGTGTTAGGACTGGTCGGTCTGGTGTCAGGATAATGTGACTGGGTGGGACATCATGCTACATATCTGTAGCATGATGTCACAGTGCTAGACATCACTATAAACTGCCACACTGCAGACATCGTAGCGAAATGACTGAAATATTGTTAAGGCTACGTTAAAAATCATAATCACATCACATCACATCACATTACATCACATCACATATCAACATTCGTAGACTCCGAAACACGCAGACAGAGGTGGGATGGCAGTTATCAGTAACGGAGAGCTCTTTAGTCAATAGGCCACTCGGGGTCCCACCCCCGGAAAGACTTAACCTTACCCGGCCCTGAGCTATTTAGGAATTGTACAGCTGATTAGGAGTCTTCTGATCTTTAGATACATGAACAGCAATCAAGATCTCTCGCAATATATCAGAGGAAGCTCATTATGCCGTTCACAATATAATAATAATCATTCGTAAGGGAGATCCTCCATGGACGTGCAATACTATTACAAAATTAATTTGGCAACGAAAAGAATCCACTGTCTGGCTAAAGATTGAAACTTTCCTACACTTGGGCCAAATTAAGAGGTACTAGAAACTGAGATACCAGTGCCTTAAGAAGAGCAAAACGTTAGTACTTTAATAAACAGATTAGCTAATAAACTCCAATAAATTTTATAATTGGTACAAACGTCTGGTGAAATATATCCAACATATTTCTGAAGCAAAGTCGAAAATCAGAGTTTTCAATCATATTATTAAATGTTGCTGTTGTTACGCTTATCTTTTCTTGTTTAAAGTTCCAAATAAATTAATTGAATATTTTATTCTTTTCTTTCTTCATCTCAAAACACGTACACCTATATTTGACAACATAAGAAAGAAATGTGTCAGTCTGGACAATGTAAGTTATTTAAATACGATAATGTCTCTAGTATATAGTTATTCGGAATATCTTTGTTATTTTCGATATTAATACATATTATCATGTCTACGTTCATAGACCATAAGTGTCCATGAATGCAAAGGCTGGATATGTGCATAATCGAATCACAGTAAGTGTTTGGATCTTAATTTGATTGCTTTCGTTATATCTACTCTCAGCCCTGATAAAACTGTAATAATATTCAGTTTCCACGTTGGCATAATGGATTTTTTGTCTGATCAAGTATAAATGACTTTCCATTCTTGCACAATTTTATTTACATTTCCATACGTTACAACGTCCTTTATCTTCTTAATTTACCGTACCATTATTCCCAGCATTTTTGCAACCAAAATCAAAAAGGTGCGAATCCGGAAAAAACACTCAGTTATTGTTGAATCTGATAATTTGATGGTTAAGTGGGATCGAATATTCGTGTTATGAGTTTGGAAAATATGTTCGTGGATGTCTCCAGGAAACCGCATAGTTTTCTCACGATTTACTTGACAGATGGACAGCGCACGTATCAGGCTGGTTTGAACAAATAAATTCAAAAGCCATGAGAAATGTACACAATATCAAAAACTGAAAACAATCACCGATGTCATAGCGCAATATGCTGAATGACGCCGTTAAGATGTCCAGGAAGAATCGAAACCCCTTCACAGTTATATAAGTGTCCGTGAACTGTCAAAGATATAGTTGTGTCGCGACAGGGTCGAAAGAGAAAAACTCCATACGAGCGTCGAACAAATGTTTACACCACTTATCAAACCCACACCATAAACCGCGAAGGAGGTAAAAAGAAAATTCGCGAAAACCACAGTTGAGATGATGGGAATAGAAAAAAAAACGGGTCCGAATGTCAAGACAGCTAGAGATTGAAGGCTTGTAGCACAGATTGTAAGAGCCCAACAAGGTGTCTCAGAAACAATGACTCATCCGCCACAAACACGAATGTGAAAAAACAACGTCCTGAAATATTCAGTGAGTCCAGCAATGGTTACAGAAGAACTTTGACATCATTTGTAGGTCTGGCGGAACATCTTCGAATTAATTCCTTATGATGACCACAGACTCGCTCAAAATATCTGTTCAAGGAGAATTTTAATGGCAAATAAATACCCAACAGGATGTCAGTACACTGCGTGTCGTGTTGGTGACATTTAAAATCACTGACAAGCTGAACTCCCAACTTGCATGTGCGATATTATTTTCATAACTGCCAGTAGCTGATATCTTTCTAAATTTAAACGATTTCGACAAGACATTTTGATATGGTTTTAAAACAACATAGCGTGTGTATCGGCTGTTAAAATATGCAACGTCGACTCGTGCTTGCAGATTTCAAAGATTTTTTTACTAAGCTGTACCCAATTTATTTCTGTTCCATAGAGCATCTTGACCTAGTTAAGCAGTCCGTTGTAGATATGTATTTCAGATCAAATTAAATTTGAGGACGCACATTATAAATGTATTGTCGTGATTCTCTGCGACAAGACTATTTTTCGCAAGGTTCAATTGCCCGAACGCGCCAGAGGAAAGCTCTTAATTGTTGTAATGGAAACCTTTAATTTTTTAAATAAACGATCACATTAGCGTAAACTTGTCAAATTGAGTTGAGGTCAACTGGAAAAGATCGCAGCCCTGACTAGAAACACAAATTCGTGTTCATTCGAAACCTTCTCCGAAGAAGTTATACGGGACCAACCCGACTGATGTTGGCGCCGACACAGACGCGACTATTTGAACCAGCCAAATGTCAACGCGTCAGGATGACTCTTAAAATGACAGAGGGCGTGGTCACCGCGATGAAACACGGCGGCGGAATATTTTGAATAGCAGCTGTGGTAGTGGCTCTAGAAATTGCATCAGGGATCTCCTTAAAAGGGGTGGTTCAAGGCCGCATAGCCTCTCACGGACGCATAGAAAGAGAATCAATTACACAGTCTGCTACATGGAGGTCTCTTAATATTTGATAACAGGGTTGCGTTTGGTCTAGCGAAGGCAGTGGAAAACAATTTCGTGAGTGAGATGTTTATCTGTAATGTAATTAATATATTTTGCATTACAGGAGTTTTCTTTGTTCATGAAGCCATTAGTAAAGATTAATTGTGTATGTATTTTTCAACACACGCATTACGTGGCTTGATTGGGCATAGTACTAATATTAGTACCTTAATTTAGTCTACCTTGTGGACACGGCACTGACATGAGTCTATGTATGTTACTGGAGCAGCCGGGTGTGATTCACACCCGGCTCTTTTCTTTGCCTAATATTTAAAGTTTTGAACATGTTATATATATATATATATATATATATATATATATATATATATATATATATATATATATATATATATATATATATATATATATATATATATATATATATATATATATATATAATGAAATAGATTGAGTAGTCCTCTTTTTTAATACTGGAATAATCGCAAATCATTGTAAAAATAGTGGTAAAATCTCGTTTACCTTTCTTATCCGATATTTTCGTTTTGATTGTCCGCCATATTAGTTCCAATAATGCCTACTTCCGTTCTCAACCTCGTTTGTTTGTGTGCCATATAAAAGATCTTAATGCCTTTTTGGAAACGTAAACAGATCGTAGTAAACAAAATATGGCGCGGTTTTAGTCGGAAATTCTGCGCATTAAAAGTACATACGGTTTACACGTGACTTTGAAATTCCACCAAGAAGCAATTATTTTCTCGACAAAACCGTATTCCGCAATTTATGCAATTATCCATTCTCCATTTTCTCGCGTTATGTCATTCAACAACTAATACCATAGCGTAGAATATGGATATGGTATGGAAATCCTTATGTAGAAAAGGGGTGACGGCGAGTGCGGGTTATCTGTCGTGGTGGACACGGTGAGGTTAGCATAACTGCGACAATTTATTTTACCGTGTAAGGGGTTAATAAATTCAAAATAAGCCAATCCTCTTTGACAAAATGATTATACTTATTTAGTAGATTTCTATTTGTGTTTCTGACTTGAGTAATGATTTTTTTTTTGCTCTATTACATGATATGGGATCAGTTCGTAGCCTCAACGACAACAAAAACAAGTTGAGGCTACGACATCGTAGCTAGGTTGGGCATAGCCCAATGTAAGACATTTTGTGTCACATGGTTTTAATTTTGTTTTGTTCAGGAAGCCACCCTTAAAGTAGACATCTTCCTGTTGCTATTTGTGACAAAACAACGATAGTTTAATCTAGATGTACCCTGGCTGTGGTTGAAACTTACATCCAGGGAGCCTGAGGTAATCGGGTTTCTCACTTCAAGCACTCTGTTCATGCAGCATTCGACGAATCAAACTCGGTATTTTCAAATTGCTTGTGGATAAATATAAACCACTTTCGCGTACACTGTACGAGGTAACGAAACCCGAATACATTTTTCTTTCATATATAATGCATTGACGTTATGTACACAATATTCCAAGGCAGTATTCAATTAGTAGAACTAATACAATCATTGGAAAATCCTATAGATGATGGCCGCATATACGAATTATTGAAATTGGTTATTTTAGGTCAGGCTGCAATGTAAACTTTATTCTGTTGCAAAGTCTTACAGCATTAAAACGTTTTATAGTATAGAGTTATATGGCATAAATGAGAAATAGGCGTTATTAACCGTCTTTGGTGTATGTATTTAAGATAAAATTTATCATTACATATACGTGATGTAAATGCATATTTCAGTGTGGAGGTAATTGATACTATGGCAACTACTTCAAGCACGTCAATTCAAATTGCCGGAACTAAATAGATAGTAACTGGTGATGCTAGCGGCACCTGTAAAATCTCGTTTAGATTCGATTCAAGAATTTTGGTTTATTCGGAAATTCTGACGGCCGCAAAAAGTAGTCTCAGCACAACTGCCTAAAAAATAAAAAAAAACGATTGCCATGACGAAGTTCGAGACGGTGCTGTTAAAAATGAAAAACCACCGACGACTCCGCTCACAAAGTCATGTTACAAAATATCCGCCAAAGCTC